CTGAACTAGATAAATGTCCTATTCATATAGCAGTTGACCGAGGACATGTTAAAATGGTCGATCTCTTTGTACGTCAATCTATTTTATGTACACAAACTCGAGATCCTGTAACAGGTCGTTTACCTTATATGTCAGCATTAGCTCGTTCATTATTAGCAACAGATAAACAAGAAAAACAACGTTATCGTGTTATTTATTATTATTTACATGATAAACAATTTAATCTTAGAATACCATTAAATTCTACTGGTGAATATGTTACAAATTTACTTGCATCAACGATTAGTGCTAATATATTTCATCATGTATCAACTAATCTTGTAAATATTTCATTACCATTCTATTGTAAAATTATTAGATGGTATGAGCGTGCACGTGAAAATGCTTGGAAAAAATATGGTGGACGATTTTATACACCGTCACAAACAAGACGTGTTTATCCAAAACAAGGTTTACTTGGTTATAAAGTATTAATTGATGGTTATAATAATACATTTGATATTCCTGAAGGACAACTTCGAACTGTACATTCGGGTAAAGGTTATACATCAAATGCAATCGATATTTATACTGGTTTTAGTGAAGACGAACGTAAAAAAATTATTGAAACAAAATTAAAGGTTAAAGATATTGCATTGAATGATAGAAAACGTGTTAAACAAATAGCTACTGCTAATAATCAACAATTACGTCGTCCTCGATTATTACTACCATCAAAACAAAATAAACAATCAACATTAATTTCAAATACAACTTATTCTTCATCATCGACATCAAATTATCAAAAACAATCAATTTCAAAAAATGATAGTTCATCAATTATGGATTCAATATTAAGTAAACATAAATCCAATGAAAATTTAAAGCTATCAACAAAAAAAACTCATAAAAAATTACCTTCCATATCATCTGTCATTATCAATGAGGAAGGAGAAGAAGATGGCAACGACGAGAAACATTCTTTACCCAATATCATCAGTCCAACAATGAATCTCTCTTCAAGTTATCCACTATTACCCAATAAATTACAACCAATAATGTCATCTGCAGATGCATATGCATTATCATCGAAACGTATGACTTTAGAAGCTGAACAACATCGAATAAGTAAACGACAAGAATTATTTACACAGATTAAACAATCTGTACAGTCTATACAAAATCAAACACAATATCATCCGAAGAAAACAACAAATCTAGCTCCTATTTCATTATCAATTGATCGTAATTCAATTGATGTTGATTCATATATTGCTTTACCTGACCATCCTAAAGAAAACCGTTTGAGTCCAATTAAATCTCGTATTGATACTGATGTTCGTCAATCTGCTGTGCAACCTTATGAACGTTATGCTAGTGCATCAACACGATCAACAGCTGTTCGTTGTTTACAAGAAGCTAGTTATTTTAAAAGAAAATCATGGATTAAACAAGTTGAAATTAGTAAAGAAATGGTTAAAAATCATGTTAAAAGACGTCTTCGTCGTGCAGATAAAGACATTATATATAATAAACCTACTTTATTACCTCTTCGTGCTAGTCCGGTAACAATGTTTACTAATTAACATTTTAGGTTTTCTTTATTTTTTTATTGTTTTTTTTTCTGAATAAAAAGAAATAATACATTGTATATGGAAAGGGTTTTTATTATAGATCCTGGGTATAGGTTATCATGATTATAAATAAATGCTTTTATTTTGTTCGTCAAGAATAAAAGTGTCCATTTATGAACATGTATGACAAACTAAAAAAAAGAGAGAAAACTATTGTTAAAAATTTTTATTTTTTCTTCTTTAATCTTACCTAATGCAGAACCAAGTTTTCTACATGGTACCTTGAAAAGTTTCTTTCGACATCGATTACAACGAGCACAATCAAGATGATAATAACGTGTATCATGTTTAAATGCATCTTCGTCACCTGTTACAGGTCGTGTACATTTATCGCATATAGGTATGCGACCTGCTTGATCGCATTGTACGGGAGTTATTTCTCCATAAATATTTTCTAAATGTGGTGCATGTTCTTTGCCTTGATACATACCAGTGATATGTTTTGAACATGTTAAACATTGATAACGTCCATCCAACATATCAACAAAATTATGACCTAAATTTTGTTTATATGTTTATTAAAAATACAAAAAATAACTAATTACCATCAGGTATGACTGCAGTACATTTGCAGCAACTAAAAGAAATATGGAATTAATTCATTAATAAACAAATAGATAAATAAATATTCTCACCGAAAGCAATCGCTATGATAATGACGATCTTTAAATCGTTTAGCTGTTGTTCCAGATGGTATCTTTTGATTACACATACAACAACTAGAAGATAAAATGTCTTATCGTAGATGTTAAATGAAGCGTTCTTTATTTTTTTTGTTACATACATAGGAGCAAGCGTATTATTACAATTTTCACATTGAAATTGATTATTTGGTTTTGGATAAAATGGTCGTCCTGCTAATGTATTTCCACATTGTGAACAACAGAAACATTGTGGATGATAATATCTATCCTGATAGATTTGCATAGGATCTCGTGGTGTAAACGCTTTTCGACATGATTCACAAAACGTTTTTGTCAATGGACGATTTGTTGTTGGGCCACCCGACATGATCGCTATTTGTACGACAAGTGTGAGAATGTAGTGTTGAAACGATACGTAATGGAGTAAAACGATGTACAAAAAAAGGATGATATATCTCGATCTTTCTTGTCCTATGCTGTTCTTTTTTTGTTTGTGTCTTACGACCGCGGCTTTATGGCCTTTCACACTTTTCTCTTTCTGATATTTTCTCCTTCTTGCTATAGAATAGTACGTATAGCACTATCTTGATGATAATATTTGCCAATCAATAGTTCGTGTTGTTGTTATTCTCTTTCTTCTCCTTCTCCTTCTGCTTCTCCTTCTTCTTTTTTTTATCTACCCCAAAATAACTCAGCCTTTTTCTTTGGTTGGTCACCATATTTGTTACTATTATACATGTTGTAATACATATGCAAAACTATCATGTAAACGGCCATGAATCTACACAACAGGTCATATGACAAATAGATACATGAATTGATTCATGTATACTTTTCCTGTTTCTTTCATTACTGTTTGATAACTTATAAGAGACTCTTGATAAATTAAACAAGCTTCTTACTATATTCGGTCATATCATTATCTCAGATCAACCAACCAATGAATATTAACATCAATAATAGACAAGGTTACTTTTGATTATTATCAAATGAACAGCAAACATTCTATACATTTTTTCCTCAAATAAACTAGATAAGAGAGATTTGTCATTCATATATGACAACACAACAATAGATGAATATCTTTACTGATTCAAATAATGTTTCATACAAGAGAACTATTAATGTCTATGAAAAGTTTATCAAATCTATTATAATATCATTTAATAAATCGATTTATGTCAAATAATGATTGATTAACAATTCGTCTATCATTCAGTAGTGACATCTACATTTTTTGGAGACTCTTGCAAAATCCAATGTCATCCATTGAATATAATATATATGATGATATATAGACATAGATTTTCAAAATACGAAAATATTCTTTAGGAATTAGCTCGTTATTTATATTGTTGTTTTTTTTTGTTTATAGATAATTAATTTTCAAAATGGTACTTGATATTGATTTATTTCGATCTGAAAAAGGTCATGATCCACAAGTAGTTCGTGATTCACAAAAAAAACGTTATAAAAAAGTTGAACTCGTTGATAATGTTATTGATTGTGATAGTCAATGGCGTACCGTTCGTTTTCAAGCTGATCAATGGAATAAAATAAAAAATCTTTGTGGACGTACAGTTGGTACAAAAAAACAAGCCAAAGAAAATGAAGGTGATTCCGAAGAACTTCCTGAAAATTTTAAAATTTGTTTGGATACATTAAATGCTGATTTACTTACAAAATTAACCATTAAACAATTAAAACGTCTTAGTACACAAATTGATACAGAAATTGAAAAAACAAAAGAAAAATTAATTAAAATTGAACATGATAGAAATTCTGCTTTACATGAAATTGGAAATCTTGTTCATGATTCTGTACCAGTTAGCAATAATGAAGTAAAATCAAAAAAAAAATTATTTAAAATTATTGATTTTTTATTAAACTCTAGCAAAAACATTTTATTATAGGATAATAATGTTACCGAACGAACATTTGGTGATGTTGAAACACGAAAGAAATATTCACATTTCGATTTAATGTATATGATCGATGGTTATGATGGTGAACGAGGAGCAGCAGTAGCTGGATCTCGTGGTTATTTCATGAAGGTTACAAATCGAAAAAATTCTATTTTTGTTTTTATATAAAAATTATTTTTAGGGTCCTGCTGTTTTTCTTGAACAAGCAATTATTCAATTAGCTTTGAGAATTTTAAATGATAAAGATTTTGAAATTCTTTATACACCATTTTTCATGAGAAAAGAAGTTATGCAAGAAGTTGCACAATTAAGTCAATTTGATGACGAACTTTACAAAGTATGTCAATTGATTATTCAATAAAAAGAAATAGAATTTTTTGTTTTGTTAGGTTGTATGTAAAAATGATAAACCTGATGAATCAAGTGATGAAGAAAAATATTTAATCGCTACTTCTGAACAAGCTATTGCTGCTTTTCATCGGTTCGTAGACTTTTTTTTCTTCATTTCTTACATAAATTTGATATTTAATAGCGATGAATGGCTTGCTGCTGAACGATTACCAATTCGTTATGGTGGTTTTTCAACTTGTTTTCGACAAGAAGCTGGTTCTCATGGTCGAGATACACGTGGTATTTTCCGTGTTCATCAATTTGAAAAGGTTTGAAAAAAACTATTTATTTTTAATTTTTATTATTTATGAAATATTTAGATTGAACAATTTTGTATTACTTCACCACATGATAATGAATCATGGAAAATGTTTGAACAAATGATAGGAAATGCTGAAGAATTTAATAAACAATTGGGTATTCCTTATCGTGTTGTTAATATTGTGTCCGGTGAATTAAATAATGCCGCTGCAAAAAAATACGATTTAGAAGCATGGTTTCCTGGTTCGGGTAAATTTCGTGAACTTGTTTCTTGCTCAAATTGTCTTGAATATCAATCAAGACGATTAAAAATTCGTTATGGTCAAACAAAAAAACTTAATGAATCAGTAAAATAATCTTTCATTTACGACTAATTCTTATTCTTATCTATTATAGTCTGAATATGTTCATATGTTAAATGCAACAATGTGTGCAACAACACGAACTATTTGTGCCATTCTTGAAAATTATCAAACAGAAGATGGCATTATTGTACCTGAAGTACTCAAATCACTTATGCCTAAAAGTTTGTTTATTTTCATCATTGATTAATTTATCTAAATATTTTTTTCGAATTTAGAATATTCTGAAAAGATTCCATTTGTTAAAGAAGCTCCAGTTGAACAAGAATCGAAAGCAGCTGGTGCAGCTAAAAAGAAATAAAACAAAAACAAATAGTTTAACTATCTCACAAGAACCGGTTTTAATTTTGCTGTTTTAAAAATTTTATATTCACTTGATTGTGAACAGATTATCATAATACACAAATAAAAAACAACAATAACAGTGATTTCTTCTATATTGATTGCTAATAACGTTTCACTATGCCTATATTTGGCGCCGATCTTCTTTCACTAGTGAATAACATTATCTAATCGGAGATGAGAGACAATATAATGTTAGATGATTTTCGTATTGAGTGGATTTGTCGACGAACATGTCAAATGCTTAATGTTGATAGGTCCATATTTGTTGATATGTTAGAACGAAATAATGGTTTTAATGAAGATTTAATTGATAAATTTCTTAATATGAATACAGCTTTACATGAAAGATCATATGCATTATTATTTCATCGTGAAGATTCAACACGAAAAGTTTGGCAAATGATTGATTCTATTGATGAAGAAGAAGATTTTGATGAGGTATCCAAAATCTAAAAATAAGAATAAATAATCTAATAACAATTATAGTTTGATAATGATGATGATGATGAAAACGATCAACAATTTATTTTGACTATCAATGAACCAATCGATGCCGAAACTGAATATCCAAGTATATATTTCGCAGTAATAAATATCAACAAGACTTGTTTCTATGTTGATACTAAATTTGAGACTTACATAAAAAGATCAAATTACTTTGTATCGAATTGTTGTTGACCATGGTCTAATTAGACATCAGAAATGTTTCTTTTTCTTATAATACATTAGATCCTAACAAAACTAGTAAGTAAAAATATTTACTTATTCTAGTTGATTATGTATTTAATAATGCTCGTTTATCGACTGGTGATATAATAGATTCAATGTATGAAAATGTTCGAAATATTCAACGTCTTCTAGTTATTAATCAATATGATAATAAACATTATTATTTTCAATTAAGATCTTTTCATGAAGCACGTCTTTATTGTGAATATCAACATTATCATAATTTAACAAAGAAAATATTTATTTATTTTATTCGAACTGATATTAATCAATATTTAATTCAATCGTCAACATATGATGAAATGAATTTATTGATGAATGAAAATTTAATCTATGGAATTATTCCTGAAGAACAACCACTTGAATCTCTTAGTGAAATTTTATCATTAATCTATAAGAACTTATTACCACCAATTAATGATCAATCATTAAAATGTAAAATATATTTTAATGATTTTTTTTATTATTATTAAAAGAATATCTATTCTAGTATCTTCATTTATTGTTGAAGAAACATCTGAACGTGATCAATTACGTTTAAGTTTAAATCGTTTTCATTTACAGATACAATCAACATTACGACAAATGCAAGGAGAATTTCATTTAATGATTTCAAATAAAAATTTATTTATAAATGGAGAAGAAACAGAAGAAGAATATATTGAAAATCTTGAATATCTTGTTTATGATTGGGAAGCCATTTTACATGAAGAAATGAATAATGAATTAAATAAACGAATCTTAAATACAAATCCTCTTGATGAATTAGAATTTTGGCATGAAAGATCAATTCGAATAACTTCAATTTTAGAACAAATGAAAAAAGGTTTATTGTTCAATTTTTTCCCTCTTCTCTTTATCTTTACTCTATATAATTTTCAGATGATATTATGAGAATTATTCATATTTTAACAGATCTTGATAATCCTTCAATAGTAGGATTTAATAATATAAAATTACAATTACAAAATTATTTATTAGAAGCTACAGATAATTATAAATTTTTATCAACAATTGAACGACACTTAAAAACATTACAAATGGCTAAATCATTTCAAGTAGTTAGCAATATGTTACCTAATTTAATGCAAGGTTTAAAAATCATTTGGTTAGTAAATTAAGAGGGTGTGG